CAATAAAGATTTCTTCGCAGCAATTCTCCCATTCAAATCAGCTTGCTGCAGGCGTTTTCTAAGTAGCCATGCTGCCAGATGAACTTCATGGTTTTTTCCCATGTAGCTTGCAAGATCTGAAGCCGTGACGAAACGATTGGACTAATTCGCCTGAACTAAAAACCAATCCTGACACAGATATATGGGGGATGTGCGATGAAGGAAAGATGGCGGTCTTAACTCTGAGTTGAAGTTTGGTATATTTTTATTTCAACGAGTCGAAATTTATATTTATCCATCTATTATTAAGGTGGTACAACACCAAATAAATAAAAAAATGAAATAAACCTCCAAAATAAAAATGCTTTTAAATACAGTTTACTCAAATGTTTTAAATAAAAAAAAGCAAAAAAAAATTTTTTTTTTTAATTAGCATTAGGACCATGATGGCGGAAAAACTATTAAAAAATGCGTTTTTGGACTAAATTTCAAAACATAATATCTAAGGCTAGCCATCATTATATGACCTGAAATTTTGTACACTTACTCTAAACACTATTTTATTCCATTTAACAGATAGATTTTTTAAATATCAAAGTAAATGATGAGTTATGTAGTTTTTCCTCATATTTTATTTATTTTTTGACGTTTTAGAGAGATCTGACTAAAAAAAAAAAATTACTGATCATAAAAAAAAATCCATCTGTTAAATGAATTTTATAGGTATTTCGAGCAAGTACTGAAAATTTCAGATCAAATGAACAATGCTAACTCAAGAAACTGTGTTTTGAAGTTTAAGCAAAAATAAAAAAACGCGAACTGAGATAAACAGCATTGAAAAATTCTTGATATAATATTTACAATATTAATTTAAAATCCTCCTGAAACATAACTGTCATTACATTCTTTTGCTTTCTCCTCATCTAGGTGACCTTTTTTAATGGCTCTAAGAGTTTTTCTTCTTTTTTTTCCCTTCTCTGATGACTTGCACCTAATTTGACTAATCCTTTTTTTTATTTTTAGAAGTCGCTGAAATATTTGATACCTTACCATGTAAACCAAAATGTCTAAAAACACTAATAACACCCTTTGCACCATCATTGTATGCTAAAATAGCTGAATACGTTCCCATTTCCAGTGTTGATTTAGAAACAAAAACTCTTTTTGGTACACGAGCCCAAATAAGTCCATTAAGTGCCTCATTAGCATTTTGTGTGTTTCCATGTAAACATTTTGATAACAATTCATCTGATTGTAAATTTATAATTATTGGTAGAATTAAATCTTTTATCCACAGAGGTATGGTAGATTTGGGTTTATAATTCTTTTGATTTAGAGCCCAGTATTTGCACCAACTATATTTTCCACGAGGACAAAACTGGTGGCGTGTGTAGGAATCAGGAAAATTGGTGAAATGGAAAAGTTTGGCATAAACTGCTTTTTTCATTGAATACAAGTTTCCCACATTAGATCTGATTGCAAGACCATAGAAATTTTGCATTGAATTAATGCAGTTTTCAGTGAGTTTACCTCTGCCTGATATTGGTTTTTTAGTACCTTTTTGGGCTTTGACAAGGTTTCGTAGACGTGTTCCTAACCGTTTTTGAACATGTCCAACACATTCCAGTTTTACAGGCATAATACCATACTCTTTGTTAGGATCTGCTTCTATTACATCATTAAAAGAAGATGTATCCCCATCTCCTAGATATTCTTTATATATCAACTTATTTTTTTGTAAAGATCTCTTAAACATAGCCACAGCTCCAACAGATTCCATACTACCCGATGAACCCTTGTGATTCGATTCACACTGGTGATCAACCAACCAACACTGATACTCTGGAGTTCTTTTTTTAGATCTCCACATTTTACATCCATTGCAATGTTTGGTAAATATCTCTGCATCAATACATTTATCACTACAAACATCAGTTACAACACCATTCAACGAATTATGACCTCGCTTTTGCCATGAACCATCAATAGAAATTCTAACTTCTTTCATTTCAAGAGAGTTGTTTATTGATTTGGTTTCAATAGCAGCTTTTTGCATACTTTCCTCAGCAGCAATTTTGTATACTAACATGGCAGTTTTATTTAACTTATTAAAGCCATTAGACGACAAACAATATTCATACAGAAGGAAAAAGTTTTCATCGACTCATGGCCAGCACCTATTTCTCGCAATCCGATGACAGCTCGCAGGTTGATCTCATATGGTGATTCTAGAGATGAAAGTTCTTTTTTATAAATAGGAAATACAGTATCAATAGGAAACTCATTTGTGTTTAAAGAATTCTTTGACTTTGGTGAAGTTCTAAAATTTTTAGAAAAGTTACACTTTGTACACTTCATCTCAAGTAAATGACAAAAGCCCATGCGAGAATTAACGTTATCTTTAATTAACAAATTTCCAATAAAGCAATTGGGGCAAACAGTGTGTGCAATTAATTTCTTTAACAATAAAAAGTTAATAAGTATAAAATAGTCGTCAGAGTCACATTTATCCGAGCTGAACGATACATCTAACTTTCTTGAGCTAACACAAGAAATCTCATGATCTGCAGGTTTTGATTTAAGAATATCAGATGGTTTAAACCCATTCCATTTTCTGCTCTTCTTTCTAGTACTATTTTGTTTATTTGGCATTTCTTTTAAATATATTTATATAATATATATATAATATAAATCCAAAGGGTAAACAAACAATAACACTCCAAATCTTTCAAATCTGTTAGCTATTACAAAGTGTGTTTAGTGGTTAAGAACAATGACTTTTAATTGAATTTCAATTCGGAAAACATAGAAGTGACATCAAGCTTACAAAGCTTGAAGACTCCAGTAAAATTGAGCTTATTTTTAGGGAGAAATTGCCCTAACAACCAAGTTAAATATTTAGTATCTCCGTTGCTAAGGAAAAAAAGATACACAGTGTTCTAATAAAATGCTCATATCTAAAGAAAGATAAATTATTTAGCTCTGAAACTTTGGCTAAACGTTCTTTGATTAATTTGACACATATTTTATGCAAAATTAAAAAACTCAAAAATTTTTTTAGTTTTCTAGTTTTTTTGGTGTTGTACCACCTTAAATCAATGAAAAAAAGTAAATTAAAAAAGTAACTAGTATCAAAATAATTTATTCGTGATCAATATTAATACAAAGTAACCCTAAAGTAGCAAACAAAAAAACGAGCCATATTTCATTATCCATCAAACAAGAAGAAAAGAAGCAAGAAGAAAAGTATAACATAAATAAAATGAGGAGAACAACCAAAAAAAAAATAGCACGAATCTATTGGAAAGCATAAGATTTAAAGATACTTAAACCTCCTTATTTTTTTCTTTTGATGATTTTTGGTTAGCCACATTTGTTTATTATTTTTCTGGACTATTTATCAATATTTGTAGGTTATTTATTTTCATTACTTTATAGAATTATAATTATATCTGAATAGCTAATATATCTGTAATATAATTTATTCACATATATAAAATATTATTATATACCTATATAACTATCTATATATCTATAATATTAGGTACGCGGAAATCGCGATTTACGGAACCGATTTTTATGCTAAAATTTTGGTTCTCGTTTTTTTCACTCTTTATTTATGCAGCGTGAGGCAGACGTAGTTTTAAGTAGTTTCTTTTTAGAAACATATATACCATAGATACTTTTTGGAAAGAAGAAAAGTTAATCTTGATTTTTGAAATACTTTTATGTATGGTTATTAAACTTTATTATGGAATATTTTGCTCCTGAATATTAGGTTGATGTTCTCTCATGAATTTGTGGTCAAAGAAATGTAGAGTCTGCTTTTTTTATTATTAAAATAGCTTGTTTCATGCATTTTCTATGCACATGCCAAATTTCAGCAAAAAATAATTATAAGCAATTAGTATAATTAGTGTTATACCAAGTATACCACTTTTTTCAGGTAGCCCTAGGCAAACGGTTTTTTGAGGTAGTTTTTTTTAGAAACATATATAAACCTTGACGACTTTTGAAAGAAGAAAGATTAGGCTTGATTTTTATAAACTATTGTGTATCGCTAACATACCTTTTTATGTAGTATTTTGCTGAGAATTTTGCATGGAAATTTGGCTGATGTTGTAACATGGATTTGTAGTCGAAGAAATATAGAGTCTGCTTTTTTTATTATTAAAATAGTTTTCTTCATGCATTTTCTATGAACATGCCCAATTTCAACGAAAAATAATTATAAGCAATTAGTCTAATTAGTGTTGGACTTTAGTTACCTAATTTCGTTTTTTTTTTTTTTTTTTTTTTTTTTTTGGTGGGCGGCGCCGAAATCCGGATAAGGGGGCGTTTTAACTAATAATCTTATTTTGAATTATTGTGATTTTATATTATTAGATTTAAACAAATATGGCAAATATAAGCAAAACTGTGCTAGATGCCCTAACAGATAGTAAGTTCAATTTTTTTTATTCTTAATAATAGTATTAATAACTATTTTTAACTCCAAAAAATAATGATTAATGTAAAACCTTCATTGTTTTTTATGTAACATATTAAAAAAGATTAATGTTTCAGATTAAAACTGTTGGTGTTCATTGAATAATTCAATAGCCACAGTTTTAATTTTTTTAAACACTAAAAAGTTTTTTTGTTAGGATTACACTAACGCAGTATGTAATTTACTTATTTATATGTGGTTTATAATAGCCTATTAAAACTGATTGTCAATTGTTAGATTTAGTTGACAATTTATTAAAACATCACATATAAACAATTATATTACATACTTCATTAGTTTAATCTTAACAAAAAGCTTCTTATTGTTTTTGAAATATAACAAAAGATATCATTATTATTGTCTTTTATCATATTTGGATTATATACTTCTTTATCTGTGGATTAATGTTTAAATCATTATACAACCATGTCTAATATTTATTTCTTGTTTAGATCCTACCCGGCTTTTTTTAGATTTTTTGAGATTTCGTTAGTATAAATCACATAAAGTTTAAATTTAATAATCACACAAACAATTATTACTTTTTAATATGTGTATATATTTTTGATGACTACAATATAAATTTTTTATTAAATAATTCTTAACCTTAGTTCCTTCTACATCTGCTATAAGAGGTATGTTTACTAATTTTTAATTTTCAAAATGTTTATGCATATCTTGGCAATTTCAGTATTTATTTTTAATTACAATTTTGATAACATTTAGTTACATCTTCAGCACCTACTACAACTAGTAAGTCTAAAAACTATTATTTGCAAATATTTACACACCTTTCTTAACAATTGCAAATTTTTATAAAAACTTTTTTTATCTTTAGTTCCATGTGTTCAACCTTCTGCTGGTAAATTTATGATTTAAAAATGTTTCTAAATGATTATTGAATTTATGTTTATATTTATATACACTATTTAATGCATTAGTATTGTGTTATCCCTCAAAGTGCAGTAAAATAAAATGATTACTCTCATGAACATTTTTTATGCTATCATTGATTAATACGTTGTTCATGTTATTTATTCAGCCTATCACTTTTACAATTAATTGTTTTATATTACATTTTAAAGCAGCACAAAATTGGCTACTCTTACATTTGTAACTACATTTACATTTGTTGACAATTTCAAATTATTTTGTGTACAATTTTTTTGTTATTTTTAGTCGAATCTACACAGCTTATCACAGGTGAGTTTGTATTAGTTTGTATATGTTAATAACTATAGAATCAGCTAGTACTTTTTGATCTGTGAATAGATTTCAAAGATTACCAATTTCAAAGTCTTTTGCAATATTTTGCATTTGCAATATTTATTTTTTATTACAAATTTTGAATTTTAGCTACATTTACGTGTTCAACGAATGGTAAGTTTAACAATTATTACTTTTTAATATGTGTATATATTTCTGATGAATGCAATATAAATTTTTTAATAAATAATTTTTAACCTTAGTTCCTTCTACATCTGCTATTAGTGGTATGTTTACAAGTTTCTACTTTTTAATATGTTTATGCTTATCTTGGCAATTACAGTATTTATTTTTAATCACAACTTTGATAACATTTAGTTACATCTTCAGCGACTTCTACGACTAGTAAGTTTAAAAACTATTATTTGCAAACATTTACACACCTTTATTATCAATTGCAAATTTTTATAGAAACTTTTTTTATCTTTATTTCCATGCGTTTAACTTTCTGCTGGTAAATTTATGATTTAAAAATGTTTTTGAATGATTATTGAATTTATGTTTATATTATACACTATTTAATGCATTAGTATTGTGTTATCCCTCAAAGTGCAGTAGAATGAAATTATTACTCTCATTAATATTGTTTAAGATATCATTGATTAATACGTTGTTCATATTATTTATTCAGCCTATCACTTTTGCATAAATTGTTTTATACTAAATTTTACATAATGCCATTCAGTACTAATCTATTTACGAATCATTGTCATTTAGAGCTAACCTATCAAGACTATCTATTATATAGGTCCCAGCATCTTGGACCCACCAGCAATAGTTCATTTAAGCGATGAGTCCGGAAGGGGTAATAATTCTTTTAAATGGCCCTAAACATTTAAAAAATTTTTATTGACATTTTTTGCAAGTTTGAATGAGAAGGGAAGGGGGGCGCTGGGTGTAGCTCACGCCCCTACCTGTACTAACATATTAAAATAATCTTGAATACTTGTTTCTCTTTTCCAATAAACTTAATTTAAAACTATTTTTCAAATATCTTTTAAATTTTTTTTTAGGTTGGATACGACTGGGCAGAAAGGAGGGGGGGGGGGCGTTTGGCGTGGCACATGTCCCGTCCCTTATGTCAACTTATACACCACTTGTATTTGCTGTAAAGTAAGAAATTTTAATTTAAAATTTTTCATACAAAATATAATCATTCTTTTTTAGGTTCAAATATTTATAAGAATGTAGCATTTCACTACGAGGGTGTTAAAACGTAACAAAGACATCCACCCTTCAATTTAAAATAGACCACTAATATTTGGAAATATATTGGAAGCAAATTAGAACAATTTTTTGTGTATAAAGATGACATATTTTATCAGAAAAACATTCTTTCGTGTGAAAAACTTGTATTTTTTTAAGGGTACGAGGGTGTTCCGGTACCATTCTGCCTATCAAGTTATGAAAAATAAAACACTGTATTTTTTGTTTTAAAACTGTAACAGATAACCACAAAGCCATCTATTGTGACTGTTGCAGTTCATGGGTTCATGCTAAATGCAACCAAATAGATTTGCTCACTTATAATCTTCTCTCTGAAGACTCTTCAGAATGGTACTGTTTTAATTGTATATCTAAAAACATGCCATTTGGTCTGCTTACTGATAATGATCTCTTAACAACATTATCATACAAAAATCCGCAAACTGCATCATCAAATTTTCTTGTATCTCTAATTCATTCAAGAAACATATTTAAAGAACTTAATACTATCTCTGGTTCTGCTATAAATTGTAAATTCTATAATGTTGTTGACTTTAATAAAGCTATCAAACCTAATTCAGATATATATCTTCACCTTAACATTGCATCACTTCCCTATCACATTGATAATAGAGATTTCTGAATCCAACTTATATCTTTATGATATTAATATAACAGACATAACTATTAATGGATTTAATATTGAGCATTGCCCCACTGAGGCCAAAAAAAGTGGTGCTCTTTTATATCTGCAGTTTAAATTAAAGATTTAAGTCATGACTTAAAGATTTACTTACCAAAATTACTAGAGTCTGTTTTTGTTGAAATCATTAAGCCACACAAAACAAATGTCCTTATTGGTTGTATATATCGTCATCCATCAATGAATCAAAATGAATTCAATACAACATTTTTAACTCCACTTCTTGAAAAGTTAAGCAAAGAACAAAAATTGATCTTTTTATATATATATATATATATATATATATATATATATATATATATATATATATATATATATATATATATATATATATATATATATATATATATATATATATATATATATATATATATATATATATATATATATTAAATATGGAATGGTGACATCAATGGAGTTAAAAAATGCCATTAAAACAATCCATCGAGACTATTACATTAAGTGGAAAACAGCGCTAAAAGGGAAACCGGTGCGAAATTGATTCGAGTTTAGAAAAATCAATAAGAAATGAGGCAGCCAGGGAGCGTGAAATTTTAAAGTGCATCTTAGATGTAACTTTCTCCTAAGCATCACGCTTTAGAGGTATATTAGTGTAAGGACCGGCGAAGTCGACTTTTCAAGACCCGAATTTAACTGAAAGACGAATTTAGACCATATGTAAACACCGAATTTAACTGGAAGACGAATTTAGGCTATAACAGTACCCCGAATTTAACTGAAAGATGAATTTGGACCTTTTAACCGAATTTAACTGAGAGCCGAATTTGGATTTCAAAAACACATGTAACTGAAAAAGAAATTTGGACTTTTATGTTGAGTTTTAACTGTTTTTTTTTTTTTTTTTTTTTTGTAGTTATTAAAATGCTTCCTTAAGTCCTAACAGTTTCACCACAGAGCACTGTGGAGGAGCATTTAACTAGGAAGTTCACGCCTCCTTCTTTTTTAATTTCGCTTATTGGACCTCGAATCTTGGATCTCTGGGATCTGATCCAGAACTATAACCACTGCACCAAGACTGCGTTATCATCAATTATCTTGCATTAGCTTAACTTAACATGCATTAGCCAAATTAACATGCATTTAAGAATTTTAAGAATGCAATTTGATAATTTAAAGAATGCAAGTAGATTGATCTTTAGCAAATAGCAGCAAATATTACAAGTTAAAACCATAAACTTTATCTTATAATTTTAAATACTTTTGCACTTTTGGATAGTTCTGTGTAATGTAGACAAGCTTTTCTACATTGTTGTTGTTAAGATTGGTTCAAGCCCAAGTGACAACTTGCCCAAGCTGCAGAAAAGACTCTTTCTGAAGAAGCTGATGAACCTGGAATGGAATATATTTTCCTGAAAACGGATGCCAGCAACACAAGTGAAACAAAGTAATTTTTTATTTATTGAAACAAAAAATATGCGTTTACAAAAAACAACAACTTCCGTCGAAAAAAATAAATGTATTATCTAAAAACGCCGCAATAATGAGAACTTAATTTATGCAATCTTTACAAATCTTAAACGAAAGTTAACAAAAGAATAAACGACGTTATTTGAAAAATTTCAAAAGTCAATTTTGTAAAGGAAAAAGATCGTGAAGAATGTAAAATATTTTCCTTTTTTTAACTTGAGGGTTTTTTGAAAGTAAAATTTAATAAGTGATGAATTGTTTTTCTGAAAAAAATAAAAAAAAATAACTATTATTAAAATTCGAAAAAGTTATTTTTTAATAAAAATTAAAAAATGACTTTCGAATTTAACTGAAAGTTAAATGAAATTTTGCAAATGTTACCGAATTTAACTAAAAGCCGAATTTCTATTTCAAATTCGGCACCGAAGTCGAAGCCGAAGTCAACTTCGCCTTTCAGTAATCTTCGTAATCCAAATTTTAACAAATATTCGACGGTCCTTATATTAGTAAATGTTAATTATTGTATTTATATTTATGTCATAATTTATTTTTATTATAATTAAACAGAAAGTCATGGTTTATATGTGTAAACATGTATTATTACATGTATGTATTAAAATCGTCGTTTTAGACTCAAAAATGATCAATGATGACGATAACGGCAATTTTCTTGCAACTCTAGAGCTACTCGCAAAGTACAACAAGACCCTTTAGTTACATCAGAAAGGAGTTTCCTGGTGTCAACATGAAGGTAAAAAAATTATTGTGCATTTTTTGGGTTGGGTGTGTATCCAATGAGTTACGGCACCGATTATGAAATCAAAATCTTCAACCATTTATCAAAGCGTGCTTAGCGTTTGAGTTGTAAAGACGTATTTTGTTGTGTTGTTTTTTGAACAAAAACCGGTAAACTGGTTGCTGTTTCCACCGGTTGCAGTGGCGGATTAAGACTTTTTGGGGCCGGGGCTATTTTTGTTTTTGGAGGCCTTTTTGTGGGCCAGAGCCTAGAAATGACTTAAAAAAAAAAAAAAAAGGTCCTCTAAAATTTTTGGTGGCCCCTAAATTTGCGGGGCCCGGAGCTATAGTCCCCCCTTGATCCGGCACTGACCGGTTGCCAAGCCCTAAACCTGCTTCTCTTTAAAAACTATATACAAATATGAAAATTAAAAAATGTTAGTTAAAAATAATGAATTTGGTGTATTTTAATAAAAATTCTTCTACAAATAATTCTTTATCATAATCATCAACACCAACATCATATACATTGTTGTCGTCAGGAGAAGCAATGTTCTCACGCTCAATAGTTCTAAAAACTAGTGCTAAGTGTTGTCTTTTTTTCGCCGGCGCGGAAAGATGGTTGCCAGACGTGCTTTGAAGCTATAAATTTTTTTTTTCTTTTTTTAATTTTTTATTTTTATTCACCTTCTCAAGGCCGAGAAGGCCACTACAGACGATGAGGCTACTTAAGAGTGGTTATAACCCTTTCTCAACTCTATAACTCCGAAGCACGAACCTTGACGAACAAGGCCGCTTCGCGGAGAAACAAGTTGAGCGCGGTACTACCAGGGACGTGGTGGGGATCGAACTTGGAACCTCTCCCTTTGAAGCGAGTGTTTTACCACTACACCACTACCGAGTGTTTTACCACTAATCTAGTGTTCAGAGTTTAGTAAATTTCCTATTTTGATTAGTTTTTTGCTATTATCTGGTTGGATTTTTATCTTATTTTATCGAGCAGTTCAATATTCTTAAAACAGATAGTCGACAACGTTGTATAAATCTATCTTGATAATAAACTTGTAGCATAATTTTACTTTGAACTGGCTGTACAATTGAGTCTTATCAACATAGAAATTTAATCTGCTGATTGCCTTGGCTCAATTTACACAATTTACAGTTTAATCACAAACTAGCAGGTTTGCTTTAATTTTTCACGCAAACAGAAGAGACAGTGCATTTCTTTTTTATTTTACATATGAACAAGTCTATTTTTACTTTTGTTCATCATGGAACAGTGAACCAAGACTTACTTTTGCTGTTTATTGTCTATTAGTACCAGACACAAACACTGTATATGTGTATGTATATATTTTTATATATGTGTGTACATGTAGTATATAGTACAGATATACTGTCACGGCCATTTCAGAGTGAGCTTTACGGCTTCTTGTTTTTTTTTTTCACTTAGGGGTGTTACTAAAATATTTATAACTTTTAAAATATTTGAGACAATTTTGTTTTGTAAAAAGAATAAAAACAACAATAAAATGTTTCATCATACGACATTTAATACAATAGTAAAAGAAAACTTCTTTTAGTTTATAAAAAACGCGACAAATGATGAACTTGGCTAAATTTTAGTAATTTGACGTTACTTTTTATCAAAAAAAAAAAAATCAGAAAAATATATTTCTGATAGTTATTATCAAATACACTCGTTGTTTGACTATTATTAAAATAAAAAAACCTTACTTAATTGTTAAAGATTAACTAAAACAGTTTTTATTGAAGTCTGCTTGTAGATTAGCCACGAGAAAAAAAACTCGCCAAAGTTTGTTTATTTATACAATAAAGTTTGTCTCGCTTAAAAAGCTGTTTTAATAAATTTAATTAGTTAGTAAATTGGGAAGTAACGCATATAATGATACGTAATTGCTTTAAAATATAAACAAATTTTTACGCATGTAACTACAAATTTTGTTGCTAAACCTGCCAAGGTTAAAGACGTTTTAGCTAGAAGTACAGAAAGTAATTTTTTTGATTTTCATGTGCATAAAGGGTTGTAATTTCAATAATTTGGTGAACTTAACAAAAATATAACGTTTTTCATATAAAACAAGTAATAATGTTATATGTTTTATGTTTAAATGTAAAAACAATATTTCTCCTGTACCTTTTCATAATTTGTATAACAAAAAAGAAAAAACTAAGTACATTTTACGAAATGATAATAATATTCGTCAATCAGCTTATCAAACTAATTCTGCAAAATACTGTATTTC